CCGCTAGTTCGAATTTAAATCCAACTAACGGAGCGCTTAATTCGAACTAGGTAAACCTCATTCTACGAGGAGTAATGCCTAATTAGAATTAAGCAGTTCCAATTAAGGGCTGTGTAGCCACTGAATTCGAACTAGTGGGAGGCTAGCCCTTCCCAGCTTGCCCTGGTGGCCACTCTGGGCCAAACCAGGGAAACTCTTCTGCCCTCCTCCCGGCCCCAGAACCTTTAAAGGGGCACGATCTGGCTACCCAGGGAGGAGCTGCTATTCAGTGGGGCAAGGCCAGGTCTCTCAACCCTTTCGGTGCTACTGCATAGGGCCCTGGGCCAGAACCTGGAGTAAGTGGATGGGACTGGGTTCCCCCCAACCCTTATCCCGGCTGGTGGGCTGTCAGTAAGAAAAGGGGCACCCTTGGACTATCGAGGGGCTGACCTCCAAATCCTTGACTGGATGATGATGAAAAGGGCTCTTGGAGCGGGGTACCCTTGCTCCCTTGGCAGTGGTAGGGACACCGTGAGCTTCTGAGGCACACAGAAGACCGCACTAGGAAGCGCAAGACCCTGGGTTGTAGCCCAGACTTGCCTCAGCCCCTACAAACCTTCTCTTGAAGAGAGGTTTTGATCTTGTCTTATTTCAGGAGATCTCGCTCTTCACTCCTCTCCCAAAAGACACTGAAATGCAGCTGACCTCTCCTGCACCCCAGACATTAGCGGCTTTGCACTCAGAAACGGACCATTTCTATGTTGGATTTCTCATCTCTTACCTAGTTTTTAACCCGTCAGGACTTTGCCTTTCACCCTGCGCTCCATTTCCAAGGAGAACACAGCGAAGCTTCACCGACAAGAGCCGGGCAATAAAAACTACATGTGGCTCGGAGAGAAAAAAGCAGCACTGGATAAAATGAGGCCCTCTTTATTTTTTCAATTTTCACATGTTCATGAAAGCCAAGATTCATGTGGCTGAGCCTGAAGACAAACTGCTTCAAAGAGCAATTTTAATTGAAATGATAATGATGGAAGTTTTCTAGCCTAAGTTGAAATATGCATTACAAATACACACTCCTCTTAGGAAACATGTACATGAATAATAATATAATAGTGGGGTTTTGCTGATAGCTCTTTGCTTACGATTTATGACAGCTACTCGGTTTCTGAGGCCATGGATTATCTTTTTCTCCCTAAAAACAAACAACAAACACGTTTATATCAACTCCTTTTTCTTACATATTTAATTTCCCTCACCCCCTCATCTCTCAGACATTAATGTTGTCTTAGCATTGTTGCTGCAAAAGGGATCGTTCAACCTACTTCACTTACCGAAGAAGATATTCTATGTCGTCTATGACAACACAGAAGTGGATTGCAGAGAGAGTCTTTCATACCATAAATTCAGGGCCTGGCCCTGTGAACAGTTTCCTTATTAAGACCCTTCTCATGAGCAAGGAATCATAGAAGATTAGAACTGGAAGGGACATCGAGAGGTCATCGAGTCCAGTCCTCGGTCTTCATGACATGACCAAGCACCATATAAACTATTCCCGATAGATGTCTATCTACCCTGCTCTTAAATATTTCCCATGATGGAGATTCCACAACCTCCTTAAGAAAATTCTAGTGTTTAACCACTCTATCAATGTGGTTCCCCATTTTTCCTAATGTCCAACCTACACCTCTTTTGCTGCAGTTTAAGCCCATTGCTTCTTGCCCTATCATCAGATATTAGGGAGAATAATTTTTCTCCCTCTTTATTGTAGCTTCCTTTTAGGTCGTTGAAAGCTGCTATGATGTCCCCTCTCCGACTTCTCTTTTCCAAACTAAACAAACCCAATTCCTACAGCCTTGCCTCATAGATCATGTTTTCTAGACTTTTAATCATTTTTGTCACTCTTCTCTGGACCTCCTCCTATTTCTCCATATCTTTCTTGAAATATGGTGCTCAGAACTGGACACAATACTCCATCTGAGGCCTAATCAGCACAGTGTAGACCGGAAGCACTTGCAACTCCTCCCAGTTTGGTAGCATCTGCAAACTTAATAAGCATACTCTCTATGCCTTTGAAGGCCAGTAGTCCTCCCGGAGGGGTTCCTCCGCCTCTGGGTCAGTGGGCAGCACGTCCACCCCACTGCCCAGCCCATAAAATAGTCCCCAAATCGCTAGTCCCACTAGCTCAACTCCCGGCCTTACATCAGGTCGGGGTGAACGTCCAACAGTTCAGGCGCCCGGCCTTGCTTCAGGTCCAGGCGGCAATAAAGAGTCCAGTGTAGCCCCAAAGCTCTGGTAGGGCAGGCAGTGAACACAGCCCGTTAGGAGGGCCTGGCCCTAGGTCAGGGTGAGGCAACAGACAAACAAACCCCCAGTTAGTTCCCCAGTTCAGAGGCCCCAGGCCTGTCTCTCAGGCAGGGGCAATCCCCCTTAGTCAGGATGGCCCTGGTTCAGGCGGGGCGGAAACCCAACACTCCACAGTTTAAGAGGCCCAGGCCTGGTTCAGGCCGAGCAACAACCACAGTAGCAGGTCAAAGGGAGAGGCCAGGCCCCGAGTTCAGGGCATGGCAGCAAACTCACACAGGTTTGGGGAGCTCCTTGCTCAGGAGGGTTGCAGGGGATTCACCTGCAGTGGTGGAGAGGGGGAAGACTGAACCCTGGTGCCAGACTGTACCCCGGGACCCGGAGACCCTGCCAGCACCGCTGGACGAGCCAGACCCCGAGGACCAGCCCAGACACCTGGGTCAGGAGCAGCAGATCAGTTTCTGCTGGCTCAGCGGGGGCTCCAGCCTGCAACGCCCTGGCCTAGGGCTACTACTAGCCTGTCCTATCCCCTGAGCCTCTTCCCATCTCCCCTCAGCGGGTACCTGAGTCTGCAGCAGGTCACTCGGGGAGCCCAGAGCGGTGTCGTCCCAGCAGGCTCTCAGCGGCCCAATCCAGGCCTCGGGGGTTTCAAGGTCTTCCGGCTCGAGCTGGTAGATTGGCTGAGGCAGGCAGGGGTGTCTGGGCTGCACTGGCAGGGTCTCCGGGTCCCGGGGTACAGTCTGGCACCAGGGATCAGGCTGGTCCCTCAGGTCGACCAGGTCCTCCAAAACCTCTAAATCACTGAAGAATTGAACAGAACCAGTCCCAGAACAGACCCCTGCAGAACTCCACTTGTTATCCCCTTCTGGCATGACTGTGAACCATTAATAACTACTCTCTGAGAATGGTTATCCAGCCAGTTCTGCACCCACATTAGACTAGCACACATTTCCCTAGTTTATCGATATGAAGGTCATGTGAGACTATATCAAATGCTCTACTGAAGTTAGGTATACCTCATCCATCACTTCTCCCTTATCCACAAGGCTTGATATCTTATCAAAGAAAGCTATCCGATCGGTTTGACATGATTTGTCCTTTACAAATCCATTCTGGCTGTTACCTATCACCTTATTATCTTCCAGATGTTTTCAGATGGATTCCTTAATTACTTCCTCCATTATCTTTCCTGAAACAAAGAAACAGGACTATGTAGCACTTTAAAGACTAACATGATGGTTTATTAGGTGATGAGCTTTCGTGGGCCAGACCCACTTCCTCAGATCAAATAGTGGAAGAAAATTGTCACAACCATATATACCAAAGGATACAATTAAAAAAAAATGAACACATATGAAAAGGACAAATCAAATTTCAGAACAGAAGGGGCATGGGGGGGGGAGGTAAATGTCTGTGAGCTAATGATACTAGAGGTGATAATTGGGAAAGCTATCTTTGTAATGGGTAAAGTAATTAGAGTCTTTATTCAAACTTAAGTGTAAAGTGTCGAACTTTAGCATGAATGACAGTTCAGAGGATTCTCTTTCAAGTGTAGTCTTAAAAGGTCTTTGAAGTAGGATGCAGGTAATCAAGTCATTGAGACAATGTCCTTTCTGGTTGAAATGGCAAGAAACTTTTTTTCTTTGTGATCCTGTTTAATATCTGTTTTGTGGCCATTGATTCTTTGGCAAAGTGTCTGAGACATTTGTCCAATGTACAAATGTCTTCCCTGGCACAGAAGTTTAACTGATTGGTCTGTAGTTTCCTGGGTTGTCCTTATTTTCCATTTTAGAGATGGGCACTAGATTTGCCCTTTTCCAGTCTTCTGGACTATCACCTGACTTCCATGACTTTTCACAGATGAGAGCTAAAGGCTCATACCTCCTCTATCAGCTCTTTGAGTATTCTCAGGGTGCATTTCATCAGGCTCTGGTGACTTGAAGACATCTCACTTGTCTAAGTCATTTGAACTTGTTCTTTTGCTGTTTTAACTTCTACCTCCTTTTCTCCAGCATTCTGCATTATAGGCCTCCAATCATCTCCTTGGTGAAAACCAGCACAAAGAACTCCTTAAGCACCTCTGCCATTTCCACATTTTCTGCTATTGGTTTTCCCTCTTCATTGCCCTATCCTTGCTCCTGCTTCTCCTTTTACTATATTTATAGAATGTTTTCTTGTTGCCCTTAATGTCTCTAGCTAGATTGAGCTCATTTGATGCCTTCACCTTTCTAATTTTGCCTGCACATACTCGTGTTATTTGTTTATATTCACCCTTTGTACTTTGACCTAGTTTCCACTTGGCATAGAGTTCCTTTTTTATTTTTAGATCGTTCAAGATCTCCTTATTAAGCAGGGGGAACGGGTCTCTTGCCAAAGTTCCTATCTAAGGAGCATCACAAAAGCACTTAGGGCGCATCAGCCCTTGAAATGCTACAGCAACATAACTACCCTGCCGCATCTGCATCACTGCGGCACTTGAGTGTCATCACCAGCCACCTCCACAGGAGGGGTTCTCCCTTAGGCGCAGGTATGCCTCTTCCCCAAGAGGTGGAAACTAAGTTAACTGAAGAATTCTTCCATCGACCTGATGCTGTTTACATCGCGGAGTAGGCTGGTTTAATCGTGTCACTTCAGACGGGGGTGGGGAGGGGTTGGATTTTTCACACTCTTGAGTAGCGTGGCTGGGTCAACCTAATTATTATTAATATTTTTTGTAGACCAAGTCCTAGATGCATTATATAACTGGATAACCTACGGACCAGAGATTCAAGGAGTCACATTCCCAGAGAAGTAAGTGGAGTTACTCCTCTCGAACACCAATATCCTTCTCTTGGAATCTTTCATTATCCCCCATGTCTCACATCCGTACAACATGATGCTAAATACACACGTTTTCAAGATGTGCAGCTTCGTTCCTAAGCTCATCGCTTTACTTTTCCAGATCTTATCCATTGCCTTCAAACTCACTCTTGCTTTCGTTATTCTAGTCACTATTTCCTTCTTATAGTCTAGATCATATGTCATGTTGCTCCCCAAATACGTGAACTTTTCTACGTTCTCTAGTTCGATCCCATATACACTGATCTTCCTTCCTATTTTCTTATCTCCAAATACCATTGTCTTCGTTTTATCGATATTCATAATCTGTCCATACTGCTTTCCTTCCTCATTTAGCACCTGCACCTTTCTCGCTAGCTTCTCTTCATCTTCCTCGATAATAAATATATCATCCGCGAACCTCAAGTTGTTAATTCTCACCCCGTGCACCAATATCCCTTCTACCTCTTCCTTAATCTTGTCCGTTGCTCTCTCTAGGTGTGTGATGAAGATTGGCCTTGCCTACACTAAAAGAAAGGTTGCTACTGCTGTGATGGATCTTCCAGAGTTTGATTTAGTGAGATTTATCAGTGTTTGCTCCTGTCAGTCTCCGGCTGTAAGGATGCCACCAACCTCAGCTTAAGGTAAACTGATTCTAGCTACATATTCTGGGTAGCTGGAGTTGCTTCCCTTAAGCCAATCTGACGGATCTAAGGTAGACCTGGCCTTATAGTTAGAAAGTCTTTCCTAATATCTAACATAGAAGCATAGAATCATAGGGCTGGAAGAGACCTCAGGAGGTCATTGAGTTCAGCCCGCTGCCCAAATCAGTACTAATCCCAGGTAAATCAGCCCAACAGCATAAATCTCCTTGCAGCTGATTAAGCACCTTACTTCTTCTACTTTCAGTAGACATGGAGAATAATAGATCACATTCATCTTTACAGCAGCCTCTAATACATGTGAAGACCACAGCCTACAGAGACCTTTCTTCTAAGAGGTTGAAATTGAAGGCTCTGGTTTCTGGTAGGAACAGAGCTTCGGCAGCAAAACCATTCTTCCCAGAGACAGCATTTCCTGGGGCTGGGCAAAATATGTTCCAGTGAAGTGTTTCAAAAGAAACGATTCTCCCCTCCCTAAATTCAAAGCTTCCCATTCTTTGTGGTGTTTCTATTCCCCCCTCGCCCCCAACACGCACACTGAAAATGAGGAGGAGGAAGGATGGGAAGGGAGACCAAAGAAAAAGCCCCAGAGAAAAATGGAGAACAAATTGGACCTGGTCTTATTGTTTGAAAAGTCATATGTCATTAAGAAAAAAAAAAGAAACAGTGAAAAGCTCCTGACCAGTCTGCTGAGGAGATGGTATTGGTAGAGAAAAAGTAGGGCAGGATCCTTAGCCACTTGTATTCTGGGTGCCCGTAAATGAAAAAATTGATGCCATAGGAACTGGAAATACTGTCTGCCGCTCACCTCTAACAAGAAATGTGTTTGCCCCCTTCCGAAAGGCCTTGGTTGATAACGCCACCCGGAGAGATAGTGCACAGTGTCGGAACCAGAGACAGGCTGAAACTGGACACGTTTATCGACGAGAAACGATCTTTCCACATGCCGTTTCTGAAACAACACCTGCTTTGCAAAAGGCAAGGAAGGCGGAAGGGATGCCGCGCTCCTATTCCAGTCACAGCACCCGTGCCTGACTGTAACAGGGCTCACCGCCACCGGTGCCTCCAGCTGGTCACTCAGGGGATCAGCTCTTTGGGGCTGAAGCGCCCCCTTCTGGCTGGTGCCTTGCCTGCTGTTACTTCTTGTTCACCCCTCCACGTCAGGGCCCACGTTCCTCCCAGACCATGGCACCCTCCTGCCTGGGTACTGCCCTACCACAGTGCACTCGCGCTCTGGAGTCCTCCCCCTCTGGGAATCCCCCAATCCCCTATGCCCACCTTGCCTCAGTGACCCACTGCCAGTCTTCATCTAGCCCCTCCCTCAGGGGAAACTGCCGTCTGAAATGGCCACTCAGCATTGGCAAGGGGTGTGGACCTGCTGCTTTTGCCTGCCCTGGCTGCCTCCCCACTGCCTTAGTACCCTGAGGCCCTGCTGCCTGGGAGCTCGCCTGGCCAGAGCTTCCCCAGCCCTGCCTGTCTTTCCCCAGCCCTGCTCTAATTTAGGAAAACTCTCACTTCCCTGGTAGCCAGGTCCCTCCTGCTCCACAACAAGAGTGCGTCCATCTCTTCCCCTCCAGGAGCCTTTATTTATACTGCCCTCCACTGGGCCCTCATTGGCTGCTGTCAGCTGCAGCTGCTGGCTCCACCTCTCCAGCCCTCTTCCAGGGCTGGGTTTTAACCCTTAAAGAGCCAGTGTGGGGTAAACACCTCACTACACAGACCCAGGTAATGCCTTCCATCTTGCCACACACTTCCTGGTAAATCCCAAGAAGGCTGCCATGACTAGATCTCACGGTGTGTTCGTTTTCTGAAGTTAGTTACTGTTCTGGCACCAGGGATTCTTTGCTGAATAATGGGGTGGGGAGGAGGTTTAAAACAATCAAACATCCCTGTCTTTGAAATGTTCCATTCATCGCACATCCCCTGCAACTTGTTGCTAGTCCAAGAATTATGGGCAGTTAGAAACATGCATAATTCTTCTTAATGGATGCCAGACGTTTGTCATTGTCCTACAAAGGCTGGGGGAGAACAAAGTAGTGTTCAATGGGAGGCCATTATGGAAACAAATGTCTTTTAAGAGCTAAGTAGGAAAGCAGGAACGTGTGCAGCCCTCAGCACACGGCAGATGCTACTTTATTAATATGGGGATATAGAGCAAGCTGTAACGAAGGGTCATCGTCACAGTAATAGACAGAGTTGTTGACTTGAGTCCCACGACTTGAACTCCAACTTAAGTCACCTAGGTAACTCGACTTGACACTCGACTCGGGTTCGTTGTTTGTGACTTGAGACTCAATTTGAGACTTGCTCATTTTGTTAAATTGACTTGGTAAAAAAATTGTCCGAAAATGCCGATATTGATGGCTTGTACAAAAGAGACTTGACATTTTTTAAATTAAGACTTGAGACTCGACTTGGGACTTAACTTGAAAGTGACTTTAGGGACTTGAGACTCGACTTGAGACTTGAACTGTAGTGACTTGAGACTCAATTTGGACTTGTCAAGACAACGACTTGACAAGACTTGACGACTTGAAGACAACACTGGTAATAGATGGTTTCCACTAGACTTCCTACTTGGGTTGTAGTTGGGGTTCTTCTACTCCGCACATCACTCTGCCTGTAGGCGTCTGTTGTGGAATTTCACTCTGCTCTGTGAGCTAATCACAGGTAAGCACTGATCATTTCTTACCTGATCATTTCTCAATGGGCTACTTTCAACGAGAAGGTGGATGTTCCTGCGGCATCTCACCCTGGAGTGACTCAAGTAAACCATAAATCATTCCCCCGTGATAATAAGGCTGAGGAAATATTTCACACTGTGGTAGTCTCATTCATGGGGGTTTGGAGCAAAGCACCATGAAAAGGAGGGATTCGTTTTTCGGTCACTGTCAACTGTGAAAAATCAGGGGCAGATTATTCTGGGTCAAATGCTGAAGACCAAAGTTCAATGAATCGGAAAGGTGAAAAAAATTGTTTGAGGTCAGGTCTGGTGTTTTGTTGGGCCAAGACAAGTATTTCAATTTGATTTTGTAGATTGTAAATGTTGTTTAACTGTTTCTTTGTGCCATTGAAGGGCATTTCCAAACCAAAAAGTATTTTGGAACAAACACTTTCATTGTGAAAATACTGAACTGTGAGGCTCCAACATTTTTCTGACACAAAAATTCAGTCAAAATTTGTGGTGAAGGAAACTTCCCTATTTATGGCAAACAGGTCTGGTGAATGTGGAATCGCCCAGGGTTTTGTCCCATGCCCTCAAGCCGGCAGGCCATTTTTTTTCAAGTGGCTACAATCTTTGGGTGCCTTACATCCGAGAGCACGTCTAGATGGAGCCATGTAGATTAGGGTTGTAGGCAAAGGGAAATGAAGCGGCGATTTAAATAATTGCCGCTTCATTTAAATTAAAATGGCTGCCGCGCTGTGCCGATCAGCTGTTTGGTGGCACGGCGCTGTAGTCTGGATGCTCTGCAATTGACATCAAAGGCATTTGTTGACCTCCCCAGTAAACCTCATCCCACAAGGTATAATGGGGAGGTCGATAAATGCCTTTGATGTTGACCGCGGAGCGTCCAAAGGCATTTATCGACCTCCCCATTATACCTTGTGGGATGAGGTTTACTGGGGAGGTCAACAAATGCCTTTGATGTCAATTGCAGAGCATCCAGACTACAGCGCCGTGCCACCAAACAGCTGATCGGCACAGCGCGGCAGCCATTTTAATTTAAATGAAGCGGCAATTATTTAAATCGCCGCTTCATTTCCCTTTGCCTACAACCCTAATCTACATGGCTCCATCTAGACGTGCTCTCGTCCAACCCAAAGTGAGACCCTGATTTTCAAAGGTGCCTCTCTCTCTTCCCTCCTCTACCCCACATGGACTGCTCTTGATTCCCTAGACATCAGGACTTAAATGTTTCTAGCTGGACCCCCAATAATCAGTGGTGACTCTGGCAAATGTTGGCCATTTTTGGAAGTCCTCAGAAAGTCTGACCCAAACCTGGTCACGAGTGAGCTCTAGATTCCAAGCCAGTCATGCTGCTGCTATTATTGTGGGCTGTAACAGCTGGGAAGTAGCTCAGCTTCTAGCAGCCGCTGCTTTTCTCCTCTGCCCCCTCTGCGCCATCACAGGTACCTCCCTGCTGCATGAAGCTTCCTGCAGCATCACGTCACCTGCCTTTCACTGGGCTTCCTGCACCCAGACACTTCTGGCAGAACAATGCCAGCAACAGGGGGAGAACCAAAATGATAGTGCCACTGCCGGGCCTCCGTGGGTAATGGAGGGGTGGACTGAGCTATCCCCCACTCCGTCTGCTGCAAGGGACCAAGGCTCAGCTCCCATAATCACAGTTTCTGGCTCCTGAGACCAGCCTGGGGCAGGGGTGAGGCTTTTGCAAGGAAGCAGCGGCGAGAGGGGCCAAGGCCTTTGCAAAGTGGAAAAGCTCCTCAGCCTGGACTGTTGAGCCTGATGCAAGATGTACTGGGAGGAAGCATTTGCGTGACTCCCACCATCTGATTAACTTCTGCCTTAACATAAGAACGGCCAGACTGGGTCAGACCAAAGGCCCATCTAGACCAGTGTCCTGTCTGCCGACAGTGGCCAATACCAGATGCCCCAGAGGGAGGGCTCACAGCAGGTAATCCTCATGTGATCCCTCCCCGTCTCCCACCTCCAGACAAACAGAGGCCAGGGACACCATTCCTACCCATCCTGGCTAACAGCCAGTGATGGACCTAACCTCCATGACTCTATCTAGCTCTTTTTTGCACCATATTAAAGTTCTAGCCTTCACTGCATACTCTGGCAAGGAGTTCCACAGGTTCACTGTGCGCTTCCTTGTGCAAGTGGAGCATGCGGCCTGTACTGGGGCTGCCTGAGTGATGGCCTTTCCTAAAGCGGGGAAGCCATATGAGGTGCCATTTGCATTGCGTTTGGGTCCCATCAAAAGATATAAAGTGGGCAAGGAGGGGCCTGCTACCTCCTGGGGAGGAGGAGAAAGACAGTATGGTGGCAGGGTATTTGGTGGAGGAATCTTAGCTATACCAGTCCCCAGATCACCTCTTGTTGGGCGTCACCTTGTTACTCCCCCTCCTTAAGCAAGCAGGAGTCTCTCTTGCCATAGCTGGAGGTCCACTCCCTCAGGCTGCTGGCCACTCCTGCACACTCCTCCAGGCTACCACAGCCCGCACGTTGTCCTGATGAGGCATGCCCGATCCCTCTGCTGTCCAGTCCAGAGCACTCCCAGAAATCCCAGCACAGCGGTGGCCATCCTGCAGCCCATCTAGGTTCTAGGTGTGGCCCGCGAGACACTGTTTACTGTTGTCCAGCAATGTTGCCACATTCTGCTTCTTTCTGTGCTCCATGTCGTCGTTTTCCTACCGATCTTATCAGAGTGACCCCCACATAGACCAGGACCCGTGAAGGGAGGTGAGCATTGACTGTGAGAGCCGGGCACTCCGTCTGCAGCCGATCACAGTGCGGCGACGGTACAATCGGCACAGCCCACAATTTCTAGGCGCACAAGCATCATGAGCAAACCTGCCCC